GCCGTGCCGAAGATAGCTGGCAATCACCAGAATCTGGAAGAGGCAAGGAAGGGTCCTCCCCTAAAGGCTTCAGAGAGCATGGCCCTGTCAACACCTTGACTTTAAACTTCTGGCTCCATAACTCTGAGAGAATTAAGTTTCTGTTGTTTTAAGCCACCTAGTTTGTGGTACTCTGTTACGGACAGTCCTAGGAAACGAACATAATTAGTATAGGAAACTATACTCTTAGCAACATGTTATGCACTCTCTAAATTAAAGGGCAAGGAAATAGTACCTGAATAGAAAGTCAGGGAAGGTAGATGAGTTTATGTACCCTACTGATCAGATCATACCTAGGTTATTTTGCTACTGTGTGAATGGGGGTGAGGAGAGAGACCTACTAAGCGTAGAACATAATAAATGAAGCTACATCTTATGAGGGAGGGGGGTGATTTAATTTGCAACAGGCAAAGGTACATATAGTTCAAGTTACCCTAGAAAATTGCTTAAATTACCTTTAAAAGACTTGTTTTTTGTTACTATATGACTAAGTCCAATAAACTATATTACTTCCACTTTGAAACTCACTGCTGTTTCTCCTCAGCTGGGTAGTAAATATAGACATACCTTGTTTAACTGAGCTTCACAGATACTGGCTTTTTAACAAATTGAAAGTCTGTGGCAACTCCTGCCACAAGTCTATAGGAGCCGTTTCTCAAACAGCATTTCCTCACTTCACGTGCCACATTTTGGTAATTCTCACAAACCTTCAAACTTTTTCATTATTATTATATTTGTTATGGTGATCTGTGATCAGTGGTCTTTGATGTTACTATTGTAATTGTTTGGCATTTTTTAGCAGTAAAGTATTTTTAAATTAAGGTATGTACATTGTTTACTAGACAGAATGCTACTGCACACTTAATAGACTACAGTACAGCATAAACATAACTTTTATAGGCACTTGGAAACCAAAATATTTGTGGGACTTGCTTTATTGCAGTGGTCTGGAACCCAACCCCAAAATATCTCTGAGCCATGTCTGGAAAGTGGTTGGTTGCCATTCAGGACTGGGTTGTATTTAAACTGTATATTCCACTAGATTTCCTTTAGCCAAATGCACACAACTGAACTCACATATGTTTTCAAAGCCCATGTGCCAGGCTTCCACCGGCATCCCACTAACCTTGGAGAATACGGAACTGACTAAAATCAAACGTGTACTCACCAAGTATGTTTTCATGGCGCATTAGCACGGTTTGATAGATTTCCGTTTCTCGAAACCAGCTAGCTTCTTCAGTGGTAAAAAACACTTTGACTGCCACTTTCTCACCACGCCATTTACCCATCCACACTTCTCCATATCGGCCTTTACCAACTTGCCGAACCATCTGAATCTGTTTGGCAATAGTTCGCTGAACCTTCATAGTAAAAAGTAAAATGAGAAGAACATATTAAGATTGAAAAAGTGGTTTAACAGGCCATCCCATCAAAAAGGATGGTATGGGGCTTCCCTGGTGGCGCAGTGGTTGAGAGTCCGCCTGCCGATGCAGGGGACACGGGCTCGTGCCCCGGTCCGGGAAGATCCCACATGCTGCGAGGGAGGTTGGGCCCGTGAGCCATGGCCGCTGAGCCTGCGCATCTGGAGCCTGTGCTCCGCAACGGGAGAGGCCACAACAGTGAGAGGTCTGCGTATCGCCAAAAAAAAAAAAAAAAAAAAAAAAAAAAGGATGGTATATACAACCAACCAACTCGAAGATTAACATATAGACAGTCAGCCTCCATATCCGTTCCGCATCCTTGGATGTGGAAGGCCGACTGTAAGGGACCTGAGCATCTGTACATTTTTGTATCTACAAGGGGTCCTGGAACCAACCCCTGAGGTCTATCCTGAGGGAGGACTGTACTGTATTCAAAAGGAGATGAAACAATGTACAATATATTCTAAAATCACAAAATAACAGGTTAGTCAATGTGGCAGATTGTTTGCAAAAATGGACTGTATAATTCCCCTCCCAGTACACACACCCTTGGGTAGTCTCCTCCAGACTCTGGGCTTGGCAACATGTCTTGCTTTGGGCAAAAGAACAACAGCAATTGTAAAACAAGTGAAAAGTCTTTGTGCACCGGGGCTTGCCCTTTCTTGCCATTCTAGGGCACCCTGTGACCAAAATGAGCAAAACCACACCAACTGTTGGCCATGTACATAAACTACACCATTTGGCTCTAGCTGAGCAAATTCAGAAAAAGAACTGCCCAGAAGACCCACAGAAGCATGAAAAATAACAAATATTTGTTGTTTCAAGCCACTAAGCTTTGGGATGGTTTATCATGTAGCAAAATCTAAATGACAGTTAAAAATACTCAACTCGGTCTGTAAGACCCTTCATGGTCTGGTCCCTGCCTAACTCTCCTGCCTGATCATTGACTCTAATCCCCTCTTATTTACCTTGTTTCAATTCTTAGAATTCACTCAAGCTCATTCCTGTCTCAATCTTTTTGCACGTGCAGTTCCCTTTACTTGAGAGTGTTGTTTCTCTCTTAAACACCTTCATAGCACATACATATTTCTCAGTTGCTGCACTTATCACAATTACAATTTTATTATTATTTATATACGTATTTGTTTGAATTCCATCCCCCACTACTCACAGAATACAGATATTTATTTAGGACAATACTTGAAGTACAATACTGCTTTCATTAATATTTGTTGGATGAAACAGGCAGGTAAATTGCTACCTTTCATTTTCAGAAGTATTAGCAGCCATTCTAAATTAAAAAAACAACACTAAGGTCCCAGTTGGAAATGTCGTTAAAATGGGCTAGATTTTATGAGCATCTAAACTGACTTACTTTATGTATCACTTATTACAAATTCCTTTTGTGATTTCATTTTAGAAAGCCAGAATTATTGAGGTCTAATTTACATATACTAAAATGCACTCTTTTCGAGAACTGTGTTTTGACAAATGTATACAGTTATGTAACCACCAACATCACAATTAAGATACAGAACATTTCTATAACCCAGAAAAGTTCCCTTTACCGCTTGAAAGTCAATCACCTCCCCACCTACCTTGAGTCCCTGGCATGACT